GGTTGCCTCTGGAGTCGGATTTGAAGCAGTAAATGGTGCGGACGATGACTGCGATGTTCTGGTCGAGGTTGGAGAGGAAGTAGAGACCGTTTGGGGTTTGGTCTGCGGGAGTGATCAGGGTGGGCTGCTGCTGCGTAACGTGGAGTAGTTGGGATTGAGAATCCTTTTTACAGGAGTCCGCCATCCGATCCGATCCGATCCGATCAAATATTATATTATCTAAAATAATAAACCCAGAATTGGAATGAATTAATTATGGAAAGGGAAAGGGAAAGGGAAATAACAATCATGAGAATAAGATGGAGGCAGGATCATGGAATGAGAATGGTGGTAGTGTTGAAATTAAGAAGACATGAGTCATGTGATTACCTGAAAATGCAGAAGCAGTATCAATGGGCCAATGGCAGTACGTACGGTGTGGTTTGGGAAGAATAATGGGAGAAGATTGAGAATATATAATATAAAGAGTAAGAGAGAGGGTGGTGGTTGGGGCGTTGTGCCTACTGCCTAATTCGAGTGGGAGTCGTACACAATCTGCTTTTGTTTGGGTTTGTTAGCGAGGGAGTGACTCGGGTCGGGTCGGCTTGTGTTTACACCGGACTAGATCCAGTTGGGTTTGGTTTGGTGACTGGTGAGAGTTGGCGTCCCACCTTGGACGACCTTCTGATCATCTTCTTCCACTTCTCCCCAATTTCATCTATTTTATTTTCTAAAATAATTTTGACAAAACAAGAATACGAAAAGTTAAAATATTAAAAAAGTTCAAATATTTCTTGAAAGATAAATAAAGCACAACGAGTTTACTGTTTTCAGCTAATGTTGGCTATTTATAAATGACAATAATGTTATCTGAAATCTGATCGATTTGGAGCAACACATTTTTTATACCACTAATATTTTAGCATGTACTTTCCAGGTTATATATTTATTTTTTCTATCCTAATAAATATATATATAGGGTCTTAGTAAGTGACACTATTTTTTTAAGTGGTTTGTGGGGTTGTTTTTTATGCGTTAAAGGTAGTTTAGATTCTGTTTAATAATTATTTTGTCTTTTTAACTTTTTTTAAAATTAAACATACAACTACTGTTTTCACCTGCTTATTTATTTGTTTTGTTATCAACATTTTAAATCATTTCAAAATCTAGACCAAATTTTGAGAATTAACAGAAATTGCTTTCAAAAACTTTTTTTTTTTAATAAAATTTTGGCTAAAAATTCAAATATGAAAAAACATGATAAACAAATAGTTACGGAACAAAGCCATAGATTTTTGTTTTCAAGAAGATGAATGGATAGTTTTGAGTTTCTTTTTTCAATAACGAACGTGGTGTAGAAACTAATGACGTTGATTTTATTTTATATTTGATATAAAATAATTACTTTTAAATATAATATATTATTAAAATAAATAATATCATATTTACAATGTGGAAAGACTCATTACTAATGTCCATATCTCATCATTAAGTCTTTATTTCATCCAGCCAACGTAAACGTAAACTTAGTTCAGTAATAACTGATACCTATCTTTATCAAAGAAGTCACGAGTTCAAATTCTCCCATCCCACTAGTTTGTTACACTAAAAGAGAAGTATTTATTTCACCTATTAAAATATTTGTAAAAATACGTGTAACATGAATATATGAGTACATAAGGGTCGTGTTGAAAGCAGAGTAAACAATATCATACTATTTTTTAGATATTTCGAGATAGTAATACTTAAAACTGTCTACATATAGTAAAAGGTGAAAAAATAGCTAAAGCGAGCATAGTTCAGCGGTAATTGGCATATACCTCCAACAGGTTGTGAGTTCGAATCCCTTCCCCAACATATTGTACTAAAAAAAGGTGAAAAAATGGGGTCATGTTTGTTGGGTGTTGTTGAAACATAGCATTGCATCCTGCCCGTGAGGGCTTGTCCTTTGATCTGTATAGGTGAGACAAGATCGAGTAACTCACAATTTTTAGATTGGAGTCATAGGTCACTGTGCACGATCTATAGAAAATTTGAAATTCTTATATTAAGTTTTTTTCTTTTATATGCGGGTGAGTCTCTCAAAACTTAAAATTGAAGGGATTAGTGATAGTTATTTTTAATTTTTTGAGTTATGACCAAGATGGTGATAGCATATTCGAATCAACTGGATGACGGAACCAACCAAGACCTCTAATTATGATATTAAATGTGCTAATCAATTTGACAACTTCACAATCACAATTTTTTTCAGTACAACATGTAGAGGTTGGAGATTGAACTCACAACCTCTTAGTTAGAGATATATGTCAATTGACACTAAACTATGTTCGCTTTAGCTCACAATCACAATTACGTTAAGTTAATTAGACAACTAAAAAAAGTGAGTCACAACCATCACGAGTCASGCGATAAAGCAACAGTCACCAAATTTTATAAATAATTATTTACTATTTTTCAGAACGGACTTGGCTCTTATAAACTATTATTATTAGAAAACTTATCCTACAAATTAGAGTTTMGAGCCACTTCACCCATATTTTATAAACTAAAAAATATGTTAACGTTGATGATGGGATTCATTCAACGTTTCTAGTCAACAAGATTAGATGAAGTTGGTATAACGAGTAACACCTATGCTAAAGTAAAAAAGAAAAAAATAATAAAAAAGAGTACCACCTATGCTTATGCATAACGTCAAGGAACATATGTATTAACATCTATTTAATGATGATCATCAAGTGCAACCTTGGCTTTCTACTAATGGATGCTTACTTAAGCATAAATAGGAATTCGCTATAATCAGATTTGCAATCTAATAATTTAAACTTGTAAGATTGATATGCTGTAATCCAGTGACTACTTGTCTAGGGAGAGCTAAAATACAATTAGTTCGAGGGGGAAGGGGAAAAAATGGGACTAAGCCAACAAGAAGTTACCATACAAAAATGTTAAATCTATATGGTACATTATACAGACCATGCCAAACATATATCTAGACACATCTACTGAAACAATCATACAAACTGCTGTTGGAGATCATGGAGAGGGTGATCATTCAGAAAGCATCCTGTGATTTTCTGCCAGGGATATGAAAAATTAAGCGCCCATTAAACAAGCTTAAGCTAAGCATCCTCATCCTTATCCGTATCATCACTAGCCCCACCACCCTCATCAGCTTCCTCTTCTTCATCACTCATGTTATTGATCACATCTGTGATAATATCCTTCACCTCTGCTTTTCTGTGCATTAAATCCACACCAAAGTGGGTACCTAAGACAAAGCAGTTGTAAAGTCAGCAAGAGCAACAGGCAATTTCTTTCATGAATATGAATATGCAACAAGTTGTGTGCGCATATGAACGTAACATGGCAAAACATACCAAGTTGCCTGAGAATGTCGGACAAAGTTGCCTGCACGTGACGGATATAGGAAGGTAAGAATAAATAATAGCRTAACTTCTAACCATCCATAACCACTCCCATCCAACCAGTTATGTACTTACAGTATTGAAATCAACTTGCTTCAGAATATTAACTACAACTTCATGCATCTCCTCTCTGCTGGGTTCTTTTTTAGCTTTCTTGCTATTTTTCCCCTTGCCTAGTATCATAGAAAGAAAGCCATTAACCAACTTCCATTTCTTTCCAGAAAAACAAAATCTTGCTACAATCAAAAAGAGCCCAGGGAATTGTGAAAAACAAAAGTCGTCAATATTACAATCCTGATAAAACAAAGACTTTCTTTTCTTAGCTGTCTTTATCTCTATCCAACATAGCCTAGTACTATACCAACTCCCATGTAACTGGAAATAAAAAATTATATCCTAGAGGCCAAAGGAATTGTGACCCTCTGTGCTGTACAATTTTTGTATGAGCAAATAAATCCTTAGATCTTGCAATTAAAGCATTATACTCAATAGGGTTCGTGCCTTTTTGCAAGAGAATAATAAATTCCAAATTTCAAAATCATATAAAAATTCTATAACCCAGATCCCCAACCACGAACTTTAAGTAAGAAATGATTAGTATACAGGCTTTTATGTTGTTCAGAACTAGAAATGATGATGTCACCCCCCACCCCCCAAAAAAAACTTCATTCAAAACTATAGATTTTGAACTGAATGGCAACAAATAAAAGAGAAGTGATTAGTAGATAGGGATTTTACCTTGTTCTTCAGCCAAAACCTTTGCAGGGACTATGCTAGTTTGTTTCTTGCCCGAAGATTTTTCCTTTACTGGCTTCTTCTCCTCAACCTTTTGCTTTTTTGACGTGCCCTTTGACTTTGATGGTGAGCCAGTAGACTTGACAGCATCACCTTTGTTTGAAATTGAATCAGACGATTTCTTTGTTGATTTTGCAGCACCTTTAGAAGATTTTACAGTAGCTTTCTTTGTAGATGAAGCTTTTTCTGCAGATTTAGACCCAGAATCATCTTTTCCAGCCTTCTTAGATGACCTCTTGGGACTAGACAATTTCTCTGGYGTCTTATCATCTTCATCTGATATATCTTTTTCATCAATGTCTTCTTTCCATGCTGTCACATCATCATCATCATCATTATCATGAGAACCATCCTTCTCGTTTGAAGTTTCAACTTTATCATCCTCTTCTTCCTCAACTTCAGATGTGTGTTTTCTCTTCTTTGTAGGCTGAGATTTTTGTTTCTGGAGGAAAAAATAAGAAACAGTTTGTCAATTAAATTCCAGCAACACAAAGGTCAGAAACCAACTAGCAGGCATGCACAATAGCATTTTCAATGAGAGAGAGCCTTAGACCACCGCATCTTAAGAAACGCAGACATCTTTATTTAGTCATGGTACTGCAAAGTGCAAACCACCCCATTTAGAATTTAAAAATAGAAGCCAATCCCTTCGTTGACTAATGTGTGCAGCTGATATCAGATTCTGTGTTTTATGMMACCTGAGTTTTACCTTCATTCCATTTTATGATTTACATGCAATCCCCACTGAAATATTTTACATTTTTCTATTCACAAACAGGTTATCTTGGACCCATTAACTAACTGCAATTCTCATTTGCATGTTAGAAAGCAGATTTTAATAAAGAAAACAACGTCAACAAAGTCATGCATTTGAATCAGAACACAGTTCAGGATAAAGTGAACTACTAATCAACTTGTGGATATTTGTAATCTATCTCAATGCCATAAAAGTGTCTCCAAACAAAACCACTAAATACAAAAGAATACCTTGGCAGACACTTCTGCAGATTCTCCAGAACCAACTATCTTGCCTGAACTCACCCTCCTCCGCTTTTTGCCTTTCTGAAATGCAGATAGAAAACAAGTTCTGAAATGTCTAAAAATTAATGATACTCAATACAACAATGATTAAATAAAACCTGCTCCTTGTCAGCCAGCAAAACATCAGTTGTAGCATGTGGTGACTCCAAAAATTCTAATAACTTTGCTGAGACTTCCTCCTGAAGACATAGGACTATAGAAGTCAGTTTGAGACAGAACAAATAAATCCAACACATGCTACAGATATTGGCTCATAAGTTCTTACCTTCTTTACACTAGTTTTGTTTATTGGGATATTTAACACGTCACAAAAATCCACCAATTTTTCTTTAACACACTTCTCGAGCTTATCCTTTACCTTTGACCTTTGTTTTTCTTGCTGAGAACACATGAACCAATARGTAAATACATATACAGCTGCAAAATTAGAAATCAATACTACATTTTCAATTTATTTGAGGTCATATTACAACTCCGTTCAATACATATTATGTAATTATTTGAGGCTGTTTCTAATAATAAAGACAGTAAAAGTTAGATAATGAAATACCTCACTCTCAACCCAAACATAACCCGAAAACTGGCTAATATTCCTCTTCAAGGTTTGAGCCTACATAAAAGAGGCATTCCAATGTACATAAAAAGATTACTACAAGATATCCAAGAAATAAAGATAGTACAAATAA